TAAATGAAGGTTAATTGTTACTACCAAATTAGATGGAAAAAACCAGAGGCTTTCAAATATTATGCCACTCCTATAACTTTTGGCTATATATATAGGAGGAATAATTTAAGTTCGAGAGAGAAGCAATACTAGTTTAAGAAATCATGTTCTTGGATTTTGTATTAGCCTCAGATAACACGACTATGGTGTAGTAGTTGTTTTTATCCAGTTACTCCTTAAACGTACATTCTCTCAAGTAGAACCGTTAATATGGGCTTGGCCCGTTGTGCCAGCCAAGCCCAGCCCGTGATTTAGTAGGGTTGGGCTAGAATTTTTGGAGCCCGTTTAAAAATGAGGCTTTTTAAGCCCGGCCCGAGTAAGCCCGTGGCCCGCAAGGCTTGACTGAGGCTGGGCTGGGCTGGCCCGTGGGTCTAATAAAATATTTATTTAAAATATATAAAAATAAAAAGTATACTGCATCTAAAGATGGAAAGTCGGAATTGGATCTTTACTAAGAGGAACCAAAACTTGATCTTGAGAAGTTTCAAAAGATGGATGTTGTCATGTATTGGAAGGACCATTCTAGAAAATATCTCGATCTTTCAATGATAGTGCGTGATGTACTTAGTATTCCCATTACCATTGAAGCATCGAAATTAACATTTAGCATTGGTGGCGTGTTCTTACAAAGTACAAAAGTTGTATTTATTATGAAAATGTCCAAAAAATTGTTACTACTCGAAATTGGCTGCACAGCTTTTCCCAAACTCAAACTGGTAATATTTTTTATGTGAATTTAAATATTATTAATTTTTAAAATTATTATTCTTAATATTTAACTAATTAATATTTCATATGAATTGTAGATGAAATTGAAGATGTTAAGACAACCCTGTCACAAGTGGATTCAAATGTGTTTGATGAAGATGATGTGTTGGATATCTCATAAGCATCATGAACGTTCTCTTGAATAGTTTGTTTTGAGTTTTGACTTTTAGTGAATGAAATATAGTCTTGTCTTTTACTTTTTTTTTTTTAGTGTTTATTGTGATATATTGGAACAATATAAAAAGTTATTAAGTTTTGCGAATTTTTTCCAATAAGATATTTTTAACTTTTAAATAATTATCTTTTTTTAGGTCAGAACTTAAAGAAAAAATATAACATTATATTTTTAAAAATGATGGGCCGGCCCGTGGGGCCCGTGACCCACATAGGGCTGGGGTGGGCTGATCATTATAAGGCCCATCAAAATGGTGGGCTAGCCCAGCCCATTTTGGCAGCTCTACTCTCAAGCAGTGGCGGAGGCAGGATCTCCACGAAGGGGGTTCAAAATAATTTTTTGTAGCTAGTGGGAATTGAAGCTATAACTTTATGAAGGTTTTGAACCCCCTTGACCATTAAACTACACTTTTGGTTTGTGTTAATGGGGTTCAAAACTTAATATATAAAGGTAAATACCAGATTTTGCCTTATATATACTCGAACCCCTTTCTGCCCCCTAAATTCGCCCCTGCTCTCAAGTAGCAATTTTCATAACCGATCATTGTTCCATAGGTTTTTACAGGCTTTAGCACCGATAAAGAGTGGTAGAGACTAGAGAAGGGTAAATATTCTTTCCACTATTAGTTAGATGTTTCTGAGTTCGAACCATATAATAAACATTTCATTTGGCAAATGGGGTCTTGTTTTAAACAATGTGTTTCAACCAATATAAGTCCGTAGCCATGAAAAAACACCACATATTACTTTTAGCTCGAATAATATATATACACATATAAATAAGTAGAAAGATTATAGTATATACGAATAATCAATCGAATTCACTTGGAATCTATGAATTCTAAGATTACTAGAAGTTATGGTTACTACTTGGAAGATTTTATTCGAAATGGTTAAAATTCCTTAAAAGGCTATATATGCCAATATAGATAGGGGATTTTTACACATATAGCGGGACATATTTATTGTTTACTTTTTTTTTAGTTATATACATAAATCATATGTTGATTATACATAGCTATATACACATTTAATATACAAATTATGCATATATTATATCTTCACCGGCTATTTTTAGTTTAGACGATTAGTCGGCTATTGGGCTAATTTTACCTATAGTTACCATGAAATGATGAACTAAGGGCTAGGTGGTCACACCAATAATCACATGCTTTACAATGATGGCCTGTCACTCTCTCACACTTAACCCTTTGCTACCCACAACTCGCTTTTACGAACAACCAGTCGCTTTTCTCTTCTTCAATTGACAGGTGGCTTCTTGCTTTTAGTGGCGGATTTAACTTTATTACAATTATATTGATAAATATTTGTTGCCATATGTCAAGATGGTGTACAAAAGTCATAGTATGCCATTCTGCATAAAATTTAAATTCAATTTGGGCGTTTGGTTCAAGACAAGTTATATTGCGATTGATTATTTATAAATTGTAATGAATTAATTAGAATGCAGAAATTATAATCTAAAAGTTAGTAATGTTATTTTAAATTTTAATCTAATACATGTATTGCAAATCATAACATTCTTACCGCACCTTTTAACTCGCATATAATAGTACATTATATGTTACCAACAAGTATAATACTCCATCCGGCCCGTTTCAATTGGATTTTTGGCCTTTTCTTGTATTCACAATATTTGATTTTATCATGTATCAAAAAGGAATTATTATTTTTTCAAAGTTGTCCAAGAGTCCAGAAATATTTGTTATATTTTCAATAAATAAATTAAAGCTAATATGGTCAATTTTATTGTTAATTAATGCTAAAAATTAATTTCATAATAAATATGAAAATAGCCAAAAAAAATCTAGTGTTAAAGTATGCCGGAGGGAGTACAAAACAATGTATCGTAACACTGAAATTTATGCTAATATAGTTTTTTCTACCAAATACACATTACTGATGCTGAAGTTTATGCAGAGTAGTATATATGCAACCAAATTTGTCCTCACTGTACTTTGGGGTGGGGGATCATTTATGTGTCATTAATCCTCATCTAACTTCTGTAGATATTAGGTGACATCTAAATAGAACTTTAATAAAGACTGTATGCCTTGTTTTCTTTCTTCATTTAATCATGCTAACACATTCTCTCTTTATTATGAAGAATCTTTCCTGCAAAATACAAACAATTATGGGGAAACTACACTATATGCCTACAAAAGTCAAATTATTTACCCGCTTTTGCTCATCTTTAAATTATTTATTATTTTTACCTATAGGCTCTAAATTTATTACGCCTGCCCATTCCTCTTTCCCCATGTTTTCTCCTTGATTCAATAGTAAGGGTAAGATGTAAATGCAATGCTCTTCATATAAAATTCTACTCTTTCATTATGCAATCATTTACCTGTAAAAAGGAAGTTTAGTGTAACTATTTTATTTTATCTTTATTTTTTAAAATTAAAGGTAGTTTATTTCTACAATATGCAAAATCACGACACTTATAAATTAGTTATGTAAATATTTTTTATGATAATATCGTTAGTAACCTATAAAATTCAATAAACATAGTTATATAACAAACAAAGAGTATGTTAATAGATTAGAATATTTTTATGTTATTACTAATGTATATAACTTAAATCAACAAATAAAAAATCTTTAAACTTCAATAATGAATCAACTATGATTCTACTATTGCTAATACATGAAATGGTGATGCCTTACTAGTTATATCTTAGAATATATTTTTAAATTTTGGGTTGAAATTGAGTTGAACTAGCATAGAAGATAGATTTGTACTGTATACCAAAATGGTATATTGAATACTGTATTGGTATACAATAATTAATTCAAGAGTATATAATTACCTACTATAGTATACTACTAATTTTTGAAGGAATGAACCAATCCTCTATGTACCAAAATAACATATTATATACCATTTTGGTTAATTCAATAGTGTATAATTTATTGCGTTGAACTGGCAAAGAAGAATTTGTACTGTATACCAAAATGATATACTATATACCATTTTGGTATACAGTTCATTCCAATGATATACTATTATAGTATACTATATAATGTAATGGTATACTCTTACAATTAGGTCCTTTTAGAATTTTTTGAAATTTTTATTGACAACTGATATTTATTCAGTTTAATATTGAATTAAAAAATCTTTTTTAAACTCTTTGTGTACAATTATATACCATGTTATACTATACTGGTATCATATGTTAGTTAATATTTTTTGATTGTATTAGCTACATTTAATTGGTACACAATTTGATTTTCTTTAGTAATAGTATAAAAAAAAAGAATAATAAAAAATAGTGAAAACAGTAAATAAAATTAGATTATGAAGAGAAAAAGAATATAAAAAAAGAAGTTAAATGAAATTAGAAAAGGAAAAAAGAAAAAAATAAGAAGAAAACGAGAAAAAAAAGGAGAAAAGAAAAAAAATAAAAAAGAAAAGAAAAGAAGCATAGAAATAAAAAAGAATTAGAGAATAAAGAAAAAATTCCCCATAAAAACCTACTATGGTTAGAAAATATAATTAGTTTATGGGTAGGAAAACAAATGGGTAGACAAGGTTAAGTAGTTTTATTTTTGTGGGTAACTGTGTCAAAATCCCAACAATTATGGGTGATGCTAAACGGCCCAACTGGTGTGACCCAACTTTGTCCACATCAGTGAAAAGACATCAAAGACCCCCTAATTAATTAGCCTATATTTTTCCCTTCAAAACATAAAATTAAATCCCAAACCTTGAAGTATGCAAAAATTAAATGTTGGGAGCTGAAGAGTCTTGTGTATTATATTTGTATAAATGTGTATTTTATACAAATTATACGATTTAGTATTTTTAACAAATTATTGTATTTTCTTCCTTTCTTAAAAACAAATACGGTATACGAATTTGTATACTTCCTCCTTACCAAACCCTAAACCAGCGGACACTTTCTCCTTCTCTCAAAATGGATTCAACCCAAAAAAATTTGGCGGTGCAATAAAATATAAATCCAAATGAATATAACACAAATACAACAACCATGAATATCAACCAAGATAATAGGTTTGATCGAGTTAGGGATGAGTTGTACATATCTTTAGGGATGGCATCGGACGATAGTTTGTTGAATGAATACGAATGGGTCGATGTTGATTCTCACGGCAATTTCAACAATGCTGTGCACTTAGATGATGATGATGAAGATGAAGAAGTCGATGGAGAATATCACGGAGAAGCTAACGATGATGGAGAGCAGGTTTTAGGAAATGAGTTAGAGTTATGTGATGTTGATCGCGAAATGGACAATGAATTCACTGAAGAGGATGTGGTTTTAGGTCTAATCTCTGGAATGCAATTTAGAGATAAAAGATACTTTATTTGCATTCTACAAAGAACATGCACGACTGAAAGGATTCCCCGTCGTCAAAAGAAATTCCAACAAGAAGGGTGGTGGCAATGCCAGGTACATAACTTACTATTGTGATAGGGCTAGGATTCGCAAAACCAAGTTTACCACCAAGAGTAACAATTGTAAAGCTAGGCTAGCTGCTGTTTTGGATGATTCTGGTTGTTGGCGCGTCTCTAAGGTCGTTCACGATCACAATCATGATTTGCTCCCATCCATATCGCGCCCGATGGCTGGACATAGGTCCGTTTGTGATTCTTTGAAGACGGATCTTGTAGCACACGATCGATTTGGCATTAGACCCTCCAAGAATATTAGACTTGCTGAGGTTCAACGTGGTGGACCGCGAAATTTGGGTTGCACTACAAAGGATTGTAGAAACTTTATTTTGAAGAGTAGCAATTTTGAAATGCAAGAAGGGGACGCACAGTCGCTGCTCAACTTTTTTCATGAAATCCAGGTAAAGGATAGGGAGTTCTTCTATTCAATCGACGTTGATAATATTAGTAGGCTGCAAAATATGGTATGGGTGCATTCACACTGTAAGGCAGCGTATGAGAAATTCTATGATGCGATATGCTTTGATACGACGTACCTTATGAATCGATATAATACGCCATGTGCTACATTTGTTGGCATCAATCACCATAGGCAGTCCATCTTACTAGGATGTGCTCTCATGTCTCATGAAGATATCAATAGTTACAAATTAGTTTTTAGAACTTGGCTTGATGCCATGGGAAATGTTCATCCAGATGCGATCATAACTGATCAGTGTCAGAGCATTAAGGTAGCCATTACTGAAGTGATGCCAAATACAATACATAGGTATTGTATTTGGCATATATTCTCAAAGTTTTCTCTTTACTTAAGTGGTGTTCGTCCTTCTAAAATTGCACGTGGAGAATTTAAATCAATGGTCCTTGATAGCATTACTGTTGAAGTTTTTGAGAGAAAATGGACAGAATATATTGCAAGGTATAATTTTCATACAAGGAATTGGTTCAACAAGCTTTACTCTGAGAAGGAAAAATGGGTTCCTGTGTACCTTGATGTGTATTTTTGGGCTGGTATGCTATCTACGCAAAGAAGTGAAGGGATGCATGCGTTCTTTGATGGATATATTACCCGTCAAAGCACTCTTAGGATGTTTGTTCACCAGTCTGAGTTAGCTATAAGAGCTAAGCATGAGAAAGAGTTGGAAGCGGAATACAGGTCAAAGGGCTTTCAAATTGTGTGCGAGTCAATGTTCAAGTGGGAGGAGCAGGCAATTCAGTGTTATACGCGTACAGTGTATGAATTTTTCAAGACACAACTAAGGAAATTGTATCATTGTGAAGTCAGCAGCCCCGACGATCATCAAGTTGTCCCCGGTGTTGAGAAAATCATCGTTAGTGATTATTCAGTTATAAAGAAAAATGATGGAAATCCAGTTGAGTACACTATTGAATATATACCTATCGGCGATTATTTTAGCTGCAGCTGCAAATGGTTTAAGTCTAGGGGGATACTTTATTGCCATATACTCAAGATCTTGTCGCACAAGAAGATTGATAAAATTGATGAAAGGTATATACTGACAAGGTAGAGAAGGGATGTTATTAGGCCACACTTGAATCGGTTCCATTAAGTACCCAAACATGACTCCTGAGTATAAGACATAAAGGACCATGTTGAAGTATTTTGACATGGCTTGTGATATAGCACTGGGCACTAGCTGTAACGACCCAACCGGTCGTTTTGAGAATTTGCACTTCGCTCGCTAGTTCTCGGGCATGACTAGCCCCGTATGATGTATTATGACTTGTGTAAATTGTTGGTTTTGGTTTTCAGGTTAATTGGAATAGATATGGAAGGATGATTCTCAGCTTGAAGCTTTAAATTTGAAAGGTTTGACTCAGTCTTGACTTTTTTAGTATTGATCTCGGATTTGGATTTTTATGATTTGGTTAGCTCCGTCGGGTGATTTTGGACTTAGGAGCGTGTTCGGAATGTATTTTGGAGGTCCGTGGTAGATTTAGGCTTGAATTGGCGAAATTGGAATTTTGGCGTTTTTCGGTTGGTAGTGGTAATCTTGATATCGGGGTCGGAATGAAATTTCGGAAGTTGAAGTAGGTCCATTGTGTCATTTGTGACGTGTGTGCAAAATTTCAGGTCATTCGGATGAGGTTTGATAGACTTTTTGATCGTTTGCGGAATTCAGAAGTTGTTGGAGTTCTTAGGCTTGAATCCGTGGTTGATTCGATGTTTCGATGTTGTTTCTTTTTGATCGTTTGCGGAATTCAGAAGTTGTTGGAGTTCTTAGGCTTGAATCCGTGGTTGATTCGATGTTTCGATGTTGTTTTAGGTGTTTCGAAGATTGGTATAAGTTTGGAAGGTGGTATATAACTTGCTCGTACTTTTGGTTGAGGTCCCGGGGGCCTCAGGGTGATTCGGGTGGTGACGGGAGGTTTGGAGTTGAAATTAGCAGGTGAAGTGCTGAAGCTCCTGTCATAACCGCACCTGCATCTTGGGGACCGCAGGTGCGGGCCCGGAGAAGCGCCTAATGGGACGCAGATGCGGAAATGGGCATGAGGAGCTGGAACCGCAAATGCGGGTGTTGCAGCGCACTTGCGGTAGCGCAGATGCGGGATTTTGATCGCAGGTGCGGTCCTTGAGTGGATAAGTGGTTTCCGCAGATGCGCACCTGGGACCGCAGGCGCGGGTCCGCAGGTGCAAGATTTCTACCGCAGAAGCGGTTTAGCTGGGGTAGAACATATATATTTGGCCCTTCGCGATTTTGAGTGGTTTTTCACCATATTTCATTCGGGAGAAAGCTTGGGAGAGCAAATTGAAGAGGAAATTTAAGAGGGTTTTGTGGAGGTAAGGTTTTTGGACCCTAAACTTGTTTCTATGATGATTTTTAACATTGTAAGCTTGAAATCTATGGAAAATCAGTAGCAAAATTGGGGGTTTAGGGCTTGGGAATTGGAGACCTAAAATTAGGGAATTGAGGGGTCATTTGTGGTTGGATTTTGGTAAATTTGGTATGTATGAACTCGTGGGAGGATAAGGATTCTATTGATATTATTTTCGTCGGATTCCGAGACGTGGGCCCGGGGTCGGGTTTGGCCAATTTTGGGATTTTTAATGTAATTTGATTATTTTTGCGTGGGCTTTGTTCCTTTAGCCTATTTTGATGTTATGATTCTGATTTTGGATAGATTTAGGACGAGTTGAGGCCGATTCGAGAGGCAAAGGCATCACGGGCTAGAGTTTGGATCGGATTGAGGTAAGTAATGATTGTAAATGTTGTCCTGAGGGTATGAAACCCCGAATTTCACATCGTTGTGCTATTTTGAGGTGACGCACATGCTAGGTGACGAGCGTGGGGTCGTGTACTGTTGGGGATTGTGACTTGGTCCGTCCCGTACGACTATTAAGTCGCGTATTTACTTGAAAACTATTTGATATTATTATATTTTTGAAAGTATTATTATGTTTGGGGCTAAATGCCGTGTTTGGGCCTTGTGCCGACTGTTTGGATCCTTAGGGGATTTTCACTATTGTTTCCTCACTGTTTTGATAATATTTACACTCAGTCATGCTATTCTTTCACTGATTTCATAACTCGGATTTTATTTACTTCTTTTGATTTTATAAATGATATTTTGAGCCGACTACCTGTTTTACTGTTAGCCTGAGGGGCTTGAGTGAGATCTGACTGAGTGAGGCGAGGGCCTGTGTTGTGAGGATATCATGGGATCGGGCTGCGCGCCGCAGCATACGGTACTGATTTGTGATATATGAGAGGCCGAGGGCCTGATTTATTATGCCACGAGGTGGCTTGTGATTGTTATGAGGCCGAAGGCCTGTTTGATTATGCCACGAGACAGCTTGTTATAGCGCTTGGGCTGTAGGAGTCCCTCCAGGAGTCTGTGCACCCCCAGTGAGCGCGGGTACCCAGTGTGAGTGATGTGATATTGCCCGAGGGCTGTCGTTGATTTATATTGTTGCCCGAGGGGCTGTGATTGATTCATATTGTGGCCCGAGGGGTTGTTCTTGATCCATGTTTTGCCCAAGGGGCGGTTCTTGATTCATGTTATGCCCGAGGGGCTGATTACGAGTGATTGTGAGGTAGCCCGAGGGGCTGGTTCTGCTGGTATTTTTTCCCGAGGGACGGTTTATGGTATATGTTTTGCCCGATGGGCTGTTTACGTTTCTATCCTTTTACTCACTGTTTTCATCACTCGTTTGAAATTATTGAAAGATGTTTTAAAAGGTTTTACTAAACTAAGTTGCTTTTACCAGTTTTATTGTTTTACTAAATTGTTTTGGACTTATGTTGATTTGCTGTAGCGTTATGACATGGTTTACGTATTTTCTTACCGCTCAGCTACCTTTGCTTTTATTACTTACTGAGTTGGCGTACTCACATTACTCCCTACACCTTGTGTGTAGATCCAGGAGCCTCGAGACACGATAGTGAGTGCTGATCAGTCTTCCAACAGGTCTCCGGAGTTTGCTAGGTAGCTGCTTGGCGTTCGCAGCCCAGCACTTCTCCTTCTTACCTTACTTAGATTGTTTTAGTATCTTATTTTCGGACTATGTTAGCCTATCTTGTTCTTAGACGGGTTTGTAGTTGCTCATGACTGGTGACACCCCGATGTCGGGCTTGTGTATTTATTCCGCACTGATTATGTAGACCTACATTACGAGATTGATAATTAATTAGTGGCTTAAAAATGACCTTCAATGAATAACGGTTGATTTGGGAATTCTGTCGGCTGGCCTAGTTTCACGATAGGCGCCATCACGACCAGGTCGGTTTTAGGGTCGTGACACTAGCGTGAAGGTTCAATATGTTAAGCATAATTTGAAGAAGATGGTGCATGATCTTCAAAACTGGAACGACGAAATGATCGTGCCAAACCCCGACCAGGATGACTCAGATGAAGCTGAAGGCACAACTCTACGAGATCCCCAGTACACTAATTCACGTGGCAGGCCGCGTTTGAATCGATATAGAGGAAGAATTGAATACTACTTTACAAGTTCACAGCCGCGTGGTGTATTTGGAGCTAGTAATGGCGCAAGAACCAGTGTTAGAGGGGGTGGCAGGGGTGGTGGCAGGATTGGTGGCAATCGTGGTGGTAGAGGTGTCGGTAGAAGTGGTGGACGCAGAAGTAGGGGTAATGGGCAAGGCAGAGGTACAAACATTGAGCATGATGGTTACCTAGGTGTGAATGGGGTATAATTTTGCGACTACATTTGATTTATTACTTAACTTAAACATATCATCTTTTCTTATAGTGTTTGTTTGATTTTAATTGCAGCAAATTGACTCTACACAATCACAATCAAGCTTGTTTGATCTAAATGCCGAACCAGACTTGGAACTATAATAAAGAATATTGCTGAAACTTGGAGTTCTCAGTAGGCCTAATTGCATTGTTGTTTTATTTGGTCCAGAATATTTCGAAGAAATTTTGCTTATTTGTTATAAACTTTGGTGTTTAATGATTTATGAAACTTAAACATAATTTTTTTTTTCTTATAGTGTTTGTTTGATTTTAATGGCATTTTAGCTACTACATTATTGTTGCTATCTCTCCCCACGATTTTGGGTTAGTTACGTTGTATTCTAACAAAGAGAGGTATTTGTAATATTGATACAACCACTAATAAATTATTCTCTTTTTTTTATCAACTCACGTAATAAAGGTATTACTAATATTGAATCCAACCAGAAATGCCCATAGACCCGGGAGGCTTTATTTAGGGGAACGGGGTTCGAAAAGGTAAAATGACCGGTCGGGTCGTTGCATTATTAAACGTTAATTCCATGTATTCATTGTATTCATTGCCTTTTTTTTCAATGTATCTCGTTGTATTCCATGTATTTCATTGTATTCACTGTCTCGTTGTATTCCATGAATGTATTCATATATTTTTTAATTAATATAATTTATGTATTCAGATGTATTATATAATTTCTCTGAAGATTGATATGCTTTTGGGGTGTTTTTCGGTTGAGAATCTTTTTTATAACTGGAAATACAAAATTTGTGTGTTATAATTGAGTTTGTTGAGTTATATTAGGAGTCTATTATGTTAATTGATTCACTTTCCATTTAAAAACAGTGTAATCCCCTGTATCACGCCGTGAATACAGTCGAATACAACAATCTGTCCAGCTGTGATCCCATGTTTCACGCCATGAATACAGTCAAATACACTCGAATACAACAACTGATTAGCTGGACTTCCCTGATTCACGCCTATTTTTGCTATTGTATTCATGAATACAATAGCTTAAATACATCTAATACATCTTATAACAACAGAAAACGTATCTACAATCCGTAATATAGCAAATGGTATCTATAGATAGCTAATTACCACTAAAAGATAGTGCTTTATGAAAATTTCTCATTATTTATAGCAACTATATAATTAAATTGACTAGGGCTTTAATGTTAATTTTATTTTTGCTCTTTATAGTTATAGTGAACGTCTATATATATAGTAGCCGATATATAATTTCATTCATTAAGGTCATACGTATCGGCCACTAATGATTCATAGCAACTATATAATTCAATTGACTAAGGCTTTAATGTTAATTTCATATTTGCTCTTTATAGTTATATTGAACATCTATATATGTTGTGGCCGATATATAATTTCATTCATTAAGGCCATACGTATCGGCCACTAATTATTCATAGCAACTATATAATTTAATTGACTAAGTCTTTAATGTTAATTTCATTTTTGCTCTTTATAGTTATATTGAACGTTTATATATGTAGTAGCCGATATATAATTTCATTCATTAAGGTCATACGTATCGGCCACTAATTATTCATAGAAACTATATAATTCAATTGACTAAGGCTTTAATGTTAATTTTATTTTTTCTCTTTATAGTTATATTGAACGTTTATATATATAGTAGCCGATATATAATTTAATTCATTAAGGTCATACGTATCGGCCACTATTTATACATAGCAACTATATTGTCACGACCCTAAACCCGGACCCGGTCGTGATGGCGCTTCTCGTGAAGACAAGGCCAGCCGACACATTCCCATTCCAATCTTAAGCAGTAAAATAATAAGTATTAAGTTGTAAACATTATAAAATCTGAAAAATAAGCAGTTAACAATATAATTTGGGGAAAAACAAACCCAACACAGCCCGACATCGGGGTGTCACTAGTCATGAGCATCTACTAAGGTCCGAATACAACAAGAGTCTAAAATATACTAAATACAGTCTAATAAAATCGAGAGGGAGAAAAGCAGTGCTGCGAACGTCGGGCAGCTACCTTGCTAAACTTCAATGACTCTGCCTCTGAGCAACCAATACCCGCTACCGGGTTCAGAAATACCTGAATCTGCACACAAGGTGCAGGGAATAATGTGAGTACTTCCAACTCAGTGAGTAATAAAAATAAATGAAGACTGAGTAATATAAAACCACGTAAGGCACAACATTAAGCTAAAAGAGGCATAACAAAAATCAGTAAATATAATTAAGCAGTGAAATCTCATAAACATCCTTTAAACAGTTAAACAATATACAGGAAAAACAACTAAAAAGTAAACACATAATAACTACCCCTCGGGCACAGTAACAACAGAATCAGCCCCTCGGGCTATATCACAGAACAATACCAGCCCCTCGGGCTATATCTCATATCACAATGGGTACCCGCGCTCACTGGGGGTGTACAGACTCCGGGAGGGGCCCCTTACGGCCCAAGCGCATAATCAAGCCATCTCTTGGCATCATAAACAGGCTCTCAGCCTCATATCAAATCTTAAGCCACCTCGTGGCGTACAAATCTCAGGCCCTCGACCTCATTATCATAATCAGTGTATCACTGTTGCGGCGTGCAGCCTGACCCAAAAGTATCATTACAACACATGCCCTCGGCCTTACTCAGTCAGAATCTCATAAGCCCCTCGGGCCACAATAAATATGAAGCTTAGCTCAAATACTTTTGAAAATATCAGTTAAGGTGTTTAAAACAGAATAACATAGCTGAGTTTTTAAAATAGTAAAAATGTAGTATGACTGAGCACCAGTACGAAATCAAACAGTGAGGAAAATATCATTTAAAATCCCATAAGGGTTCAAACACTTGGCACGAAGCCCAAATACGGCGTTTAGCCCAAATATATAATGATATCAAACAGTTAGCTATTAAATACACAGTAAAATAGTCATACGGGATGTACTAAGTCACGATCCCCAACGGTGCTCTACCCCACGCTCGTCATCTAGCGTGTCACCTCAACATAGCCGTACGCTGTGAAATTCCGGGGTTTCATACCCTCAGGACAGCATTTAAAATTATTACTCACCTCGAACTAGCCCGAAAAGCTACTCTACAACACGCTTGCCTCTTGAATCAACTTCCGAGTGCTCCAAATCTACAAAGTTAAGCTTTTTTATCATCAAATTATGCTAAACGAATGAATTCCAATTGAAAAATATCGAATTTAAGCACAAAACCCGAAATCAGTCAAAACCCGTCACCCGGGCCCGCGTCCCGGAACTGGACAAAGCAAAAATGTTCTTCATCATCTCACGAGTCTGTACATATAAAGAACTCGAAAATCGGAGTTTGTTTGACCCCTCAAATCATCCCTAGAAAGTCTCATAATCTCAAGCCCTAACTCCACCTTTTTCTACTGATTTTCATGAATTAAACACTGATATTTTGTTCCTTAATCACAAATAATCGAGTTTTAGGGTCCACAATCCTTACCTCAATGAAGAACAAGGATTTCCTCTCTTCAAAATCGCCTCAAAGATCTTTTCCCGTTCAAAAATGGTGGAAGTTAGGTGCAAAGTCGCGGAATAGCCTTTTTAAAACCTTCTGCCCAGGCCTTAAAATCCTTCTACGCGATCGCGGGACATCCTTCGCGATCGCGAAGCACATTTTCTCAGAACCCAACTTTTACTCTATGCGAATGCATAAACACTCACCCGAACGCGATGTTCAAGCATCCAACACTATGCGATCGCGGACAGGGTACCGCGTTCGCGAAGAACAAACTCCCCGTCAACCCCTGGTCCACTTAACTCTATGCGAACGCGACCTTCACTACGCGTTCGCGATCAACAACTTCTCCACCTTATGCGATCGCAACTCAACCTTCGTGAACGCGAAGAACAAACTGGACTGCCCTTCAAAAGCTTCTACGCGATCGCGAGACCCCCTATGCGATAGCGAAGAGGAAATCTCTGCAACAGCTGAATCCTCAAAACCTGCAACTCCAAACGATACGGAATGGTCCGTTTAACTACCCGAAACTCACCCGAGGCTCCCGGGACCTCAACCAAAAGCACAAACATCACCCATAACCTTATTCAAACTTGTACCAATCTTCAAAACACCTCAAACAACATCAAAAATTACCAAAACGCATCGAATTCAAGCCTAAGGTTCTAAATTCTTCCGCATTCCGCTTTTGATCAAAAACCCAACCAAACCACGTCCAAATGACCTGAAATTTTGCACGCACATCCCAGATGACATAAAGAAGCTACTACAACTTCCGGAATTCCATTCCGACCCCTATATCAAAATCTCACCTATCAACCGGAAAACGCCAAAAACTAACTTTCGCCAATTCAAGCCTAATTCTACACCGGACATCACAAAAATATTCCGGACACGCTCCTAAGTCCCAGATCACCTAACGAAGCTATCCGAGCCATAAAATTCGCATTCCGAGGTCGTTTACCAATAAGTCAAAACTTGGTCAAACCTTTCAATTTCAAGCTTCAAATTGAGAACTATTCTTCCAAACTCATTCCGATTACCCTGAAAATCAAAACCAATGATTTACATAAGTCATAATACATTACACGGGGCAAGTCATGCCCGAGAACTGGCGAGAAAAGTGCAAAAGCTCAAAACGACCGGTCGGGTCGTTACATCCTCCCCCACTTAAACATACGTTCGTCCTCGAACGTGCCCAGAGTTGTTCCAAAAGCCAACCAATCGCCGAATAACCTTACCATGCATATACCTGGGGGTGATCCCACGTCACCCTATCTCATATAGGTCCGATAACACATTGTAACTGAAATTTCACAATCCAATCTAGCCCATAAACCATAGAACCACATTTTCACTTCTGTACGATCATAATCTCACATTTATACTGTGAATAAGTCCGAACAAGCTGTAACAAACCATATCTGTAACCTCAGGTGCAATTACATGATATACCACATAACTCAAACACTAGAAGCGATAACTTCTAATCACAGCAGCTGTACACAACAACCGAATATCGATAGAAAACCTCTTATCAACTAAAGTCTCATTTTGTCACTTTCATATACTGCAAATGATAAATGAAACATGCATAAGCCA